CCGAACAGCTCCCTGGTGTGGCTGCAGTACATGGCCTTCCACCTGCAGGCGACGGAGATTGAGCAGGCCCGCGCCGTAGCCGAGAGGGCCCTCAAGACCATCTCCTTTCGGTCAGGCAACGTTGCGGCCTCTTTTCGGGAATTCTCCCGGAAAATGTGTGGTGTACTGACCCCCCAGTTTGTGAAAGCTGTCGGATATTATTTTATCTTGTTCTTGCTCTCCCTGTAATATCATAATAATAATAATAATAATAGCTTACATTTATATAGCACTTTTCTTGGCACTCCACTCAAAGCTCTCTACAGGTAATGGGGACTCCCCTCCACCACCACCAATGTGCAGCCCCACCTGGATGATGCGACGGCAGCCATAGTGCGCCAGAACGCTCACCACACATCAGCTTTCAGTGGGGAGGAGAGTAATGAAGCCAGTTCATAGTTGGGAATTATTAGGAGGCCATTAAACAAAACTATGGAGGGGGTCTATCCTGACTAATCAGTGAACAGATGTCTTAAGGGTTGCTTTTTGTCCTAAAATATTTCTGTGTGTAAATAGGAATGTCTGTCATCACTTTCAGGGAGGAGCAAGAGAAGCTTAATGTATGGGTGGCTTTTCTTAACCTGGAGAACATGTACGGGACAGAAGAGAGTCTGCAGAAAGTGTTTAAGAGAGCAGTCCAATATTGTGAGCCTATGGCAGTCTTCCAGCAACTCGCCGATATCTACACCAAGTCCAACAAGCACAAGGTACCTTTCCTGTACTATGTACCACTCAATACACCACAAGTCAGTACCGTATAATTCGGATACCTACAAGAGTAGCTGATTTGTATATCTTTCAGGTGTGGGTTGTAGTTAAGTGTGTGTGTTAGGTACGAAGTGAAATTAACACTAAATAAAAAGGACAGTTCTGATTGGAGCATGTCGGCTCTCCGACACCAGGCTAGATATGGTAATCGATCCAAACAAAAGTAAATGCTTCCACCACACTGCTCTGTGAATCCATCTTGATTAAACACAGGAAATGCAGTACACCCATATATGTATATACGTTGAAAGCAATGTCATTTGACATTAATTGGAAAGAAAAGCCTTATGTTTCCATTTTGTCCACAGTCATAAGAGTTCAGTTTTCCTACGTTCGCATCTGAGTAAAATTTGAGATTTTTGGCCCCACTGTGTCAGTGCACTTGGAAACCCCTTCCTTCCCAGGAACGTCTGTATGTGTCAGCACTGAGGTCATAACTTGCTCTTTGGCCATCTGGAAAGCATTAATGAGTCACTAAATCCATTGAGCCCTGACTAGCACATTACTGCTTCATGAACAGAACGCTGAGGTTTTTTACATTTTTGTTAAAGTCCTGTAAGGTCACATTTGTTTGTTGAAGCACAGAAATACATTGCTTTAGATTCAGTTATTTTTCTTGCTCATGGCTCCTTTTGTTTTGCATTTCCACACAGGAAGCTGACAGCCTCTACAACACAATGCTGAAGCGCTTTCGCCAGGAGAAGTCGGTGTGGCTGAGCTATGGCACCTTCTTGCTGAAACAGGGGGGGAATGATGCCGCTCACAGGCTTCTGCAGAGGGCACTCAGAAGCCTCCCAAACAAAGAACGTAAGAACTGAGAAACATCTATGTGTTAGATTCTGAGACTCACATGTATCAAATCTGAGCACCCCCACACACACATTCCAAGTGACTGGGAGATCCGGATTCTCCATGTCATCTAGTCGAATGAAGTTTTTGCTACTATTAGAGAGCAGGTCCAGTGGAAACAAAGGACAGGATTATCATTCAGCAATGTTGTATTGTGTTACAATTAGGCAGTCAGCTCCCCTCCATCTCAGAAGTAAGCTTAGTGGAGATTTTCTTGTCAGTTCAGTCATTGACAGGTCGCAACCCATAAAGTCTGTCGCAACCCTGAATTTGCAGCAAAGCAGCTTTTCGAAGGAGCAGTCTTCAGGCTGTTGGGCCTATTCCTGCATTCAGGCTGAGAGAATTGTTTTTGGGGGGTGGGGGTTAAGATTTTGTCATGAGCGCCTGCGGCTGGAATTCTTAAGATCATTTCTTGACAGCTTTCACTTTTGTCCCTCTCAGACGTCGATGTAATTGCCAAGTTTGCTCAGTTGGAGTTCCAGTATGGGGATGTGGAACGTGCCAAGGCCATGTTTGACAGCACACTGAGCAGCTACCCCAAGCGCACAGACCTGTGGTCTGTCTACATCGATCTGCTGATCAAGCATGGCTCCCAGAAAGAAGTGCGGTGAGTGTTTCCTAGTGGTGGTTTAGCACAAGCTGTTAGCAACGTGGGCTGGTCGACTTTTGTACAAAAACAAGGTCCTCAAAAGTACAACTAGTTTTTGAACATATCTGACCTTGAATCACTTCACTACATCAGTTTTGGTTTGGCTCATTTTTGAGTGTCATTATAAGTATTTGTCACATAATATGAGGTCACCAAAGTTTTGAGCAGTTTTGAATAGACCACTTAAATAATAAAGTAGCGGTGATTGAAACTTTACAGCTATGAGACTTAGCTTTGTACCCCATTAACATACTGTTAATTTTGTGCAAGAATGGTAATGACAGTACAAGATGTCCCTTAACAGAAATGATTAAAGCTGTGGTTTAGACATGCTATCTATTTTTATTGATTTTTTTTGTTTGATCTGTTTATTTCTGTTCATTCTGTGTCCTAGAGTCTTCTATTTATAGTATGTTTTTCAGATATGTCCTATTTATTCAAAGTGTAGAGATTTCTTGTTTGATTCCCAAAGTAACTTGAAGTCTCCGAGTCTAGGGAGTGTAAGCTGTATAGCATTGACAGCTGTCATAATGTGCAGTTCAAGTATATTACACACAGATCCTGGTTCACAAAGCAATTACAAAACATAAAATCGTTAGCCATATTCTTGGAAGTTCTCTGTCCATGGGCTTGGATCAACCTGGTATTTTTATGGTCCTTTTGTAGCATAATATCATGACATGAACATACACCATTAATTTTCTGTCGTATTACATATATTTCTAGAAAGTGCTTTATTTGGACTGGTTTCAGAAGAAACTGAAGCTGACTGAAGTGAAAAAGAACAAGCCCCAGTTAAATTATATTGATTCTCTGTGCAGTTTTGTAACAAAGTTAAACTATTTTTTTTTTAAAAAGGGAACAGTAAAATTGATCTGAGAACCACGCAAAGCAAAAATAGCTGATTGCAGATCCACATGAAAAGAAGCGTCTTTACACTCTGAAGCCTACGTTATGTTGTACATTGTAGATAAATATGCAATTCATTCTAAGTTTATTTCCCATGGTTGGAAGAAAACTCCTGTTAAGGCGTAGATGAAAGGCTTATAATTGTGCTTGACGCGCCTGTCCTTTGCCAGTCAGCCTGACTTGCTTGTTGTTTTTCCGCAGCAACGTGTTTGAACGAGTGATCCACCTGAGCCTCGCCGCCAAGAGGATCAAGTTCTTCTTCAAGCGCTACCTGGAGTACGAGAAGAAGCACGGCTCCGCCGAGACCGTGGAGGCAGTCAAGGCGAAGGCTCTGGAATATGTCGAGGCCAGGGGCTCTGTGGCTGACAGCTAACCCCACTTCAGTCATTTCCAGTCACGTGTGTGTCTCACAGCTTGCACAGGGCTAAGACTGCACTGTGCTAAACATATAACCCACACCCCCATTATGGGTTTCCATCCTTCAAGAAATCTCATTGTGGCATCTAAAAAATCTCGAAAGCTTGTCCTCTGTGGAGGTTTCGGTATAATGTTTTGCATCTTGTAGTGGAACCTACTGTGTTCTCATGCAAGACTGTGCAGTAATTACAATTTAGCCATCTGAACATAAGCTGGTGATATTCTGTTTTTAAATCATTTTGTACCAGTTTCTTTGTAAGGTGTCTTGTCATCATATTTTTGCACTTGATAGGATCTGCAAAAAATGTTTTCCATTTCTTCATAAAATCTTCTTTTCAAATCTTCTGCCTTTTTATTCCAAGGGTATTACATTCTTAATGCTGTGTGTCTTTGGGATATTCCAAACAAATACTTAGAGACACAACAGTAGACCCACCTGCAGCTTTTATTCTGAGTGTAATAGGAGTTCAGAAACACCCCATAGTGCCTACTTTCTTATCACAATGCTGTCTTTGGTTTTTTATTTTGGCCAAGGAGACAATATAACTGCAAGCAAAAGCAAAATTGATGAAAACTGCTGAGTTTTTAACAAGGGGAAATAAACAAGTACTTACAAATGTTTTTAAGGAGGGCATGTGATAATGGTTTAACATTCTGGAAAAGGAGGAAACATTACTGTAATGCTCCATTACGTGGAAACGCATGAATGTGGACCAAGATGAAAGGTTTTTTTCCCTCTCTGGGACATCCTGCACTAATCCTTTAGGTTTTTTTTCTGTGGAGAGAGTTTTTATGGTTTTGTTGGAATTGTATTTTCTGTAATGTCCTTGTTTATCCAAACTAACATGACTTAGTTCTTAGTGCACCACCCATAGCTATATGGGAATGCTCCAGATTTGAAACTTTTCCAGGGAGATAACTCCCTGTAACTTGGTGAGTGTGGTGCCTGTAATCAGTTCTTGGCGAAAAATGTGCTGAGAATTCACCTTTGCTTTCAGAAGATCTTGTTATAATACATTTTCTCAACAAGGTCAACAATTTTTAGGATATAGATTGGTATTCCACCAAATGTATCATAAATGTGTTCTGATATTTTTTTCGACAATATGATCTGTTTGTAAGTATAGTTTACATGACTAATGATACTCCTGATGAATGACAAATTTATAAATGGATCCTTAAAACAAAATAAATGGATAACATATATTATATAGGGATACACATGGAACTGACAAAATGAATTTGAGTTTTCTGTGCTGTTACCATAAACCTTATTGTGCTTTTCACCTTATGCCTTTAGCTGGTGCTTAATTGCCTGCATTTTGACAAAAGTGTTTTTAATAATGTACTTACTGATAATAATACTGACTAAGTCAATCCTGACTTAAAGCAAGGTAGAAAAAAAAAATAACATTTAAGAAATACAGAACTGTAGAAAAGCAGTTTAATTTTCAGGTTCTACAATATTCATGCAGAATAGATGTCATACAGAGTCTGTACTTGTGTTGAACTTGAAGAGAGGGAGACTGCTTTTTGTGAGACTTTTGTATGCCTTATGCATCAATCTGGATAAAATCACTGCAGTTGTCTCATACAGTAAATAACAAGCACTGTTTTGAAGATGTTCGTACGCAAGTGTGGGTGGAGGACATACCGATTTCTGATCCTCTCTGACCCTGAAAAAGGCGAAAATGCATTTCCCCATTCTTAATTAAAGGCAAAAAGGTGCATAGATTGTGTAGACATGGGTAAACATGTCTGAGAGTGAAGGGAAGGTTAATGTAATCTTCAGCTTCTTAAAATAGGGCAGTAATGCCAGTAATTAATGTAGTGGTATACAATGATGGTCATATTTCATGTAATAATCTTATCCTTCCTAGTTAGATGTAATGTGGACTAGTTGAACTGTCTGCTTGATGGCTTTCTCCAAAGAGATCATGTGAAAGCTTTCTTATGCAGGAGTTAAGAGAAGAGGTTTGCTTACCCAATACTTGCACAGCTGTGTTCCCTGGGGAGCCAAAGTCCAAATGATTTCATGCATCTCTTTACATCAATACAGCCAGACCAGGGCAAACATGTAAAGTTGCAAATTAAGTATACGCCAGGTTCAGCATATTGATTTCAAGCCAAGGGTATGTGAAAATCAAAAACTGTGGCTCCAAGCAACCAGACTTGTTTACTCCAGTCTTCTACCAGCTGAGGGTGTGTTTTATGTATATTCTCATAAAATAAACTTTATGTAAAGTAAATCTACTTTGCCTTTCAGTACAAGTTCTCAAGTCAAAATGACACTTTGATCTGTACAGTAGCTACCCTTGAATGAGTGAGTCCAAGAATAATGACAATGACAGTTTTTTTGTGTTGGCAGAGAGAAGAAGCAATTGGAGCTATGTTTGCTATTGGTGAGAAACTATAATTTGACCATACAATTTAATTTTGCCTTCAAATAAACCTTCTGGTATTACACTTGAAACAAATCTGCATATTGTATTGGAGCAACATTTCAGATGTCTCTCCTTTCTTCAGGTAAAGAAGGCTTGACAGCCAAAACAATCTTTTTTTTTTCTTTTGGCTTTTCAGTGTAGCGTTTACTTGTATTTAATCCTTTTCTCTTTGCATGCTGGCAAAGCTCATCCCTCTATGTACATTTTCTGTTCAGCTTTCTTGGCTGTGCCTGAACTGAGACTGTGCTTAATGGTTATATTTTCCCATTAACATAATAGTAACTTACAATAAAAAAAATACTTACTCTTTTACCACACCTGTAATCAGTTCTCATTTGCCCCATGAATTCAGCAGCAGATACAAAAGGTACCAGAAGAAAATGTCACTGGGAAGCTATGGAATCTGAATTGTCCTGAGTGCTGAATTTGGCTCGCAACAAAAGAAGCAAGTGGTTTGTACCACCAAAACATTGATACACTTTATTTCAAATCAAATAACAATAGAAAATAACTAGAAACGATAAACGTGAAGTCTATTGATGCAGGCTTCTAAAAAGCAGTTGTTTCATCTTGCCTCAGTCACTGTTTGTGGCTCTTGGCAGTACCATCCTGGACTGAAAGGGGTTTCCCAGTCCAAGTCTTTCTCCAGGGTCTGCAGGGGAAGAGCCACAGACCTGTGTCCCTGGGCTGCCTCATGTGATGAGCTTCTGGGTCTAAGCAGGGATATTTCAATATTATTTTTAAAAGATTTCTTTCAGTGCTGAGGATCAGAAATAGTAGTAGTACTTCGTCTGGTGTCAAAGTCATTTGTGGGGAGACGCTGGAGAGGCAATAAGTGGGGTGTGCCCTCTTCCTGCAGTCTGCAGTAAGTCCTCCAGTGGGAACAGCCCTTTCCAGTTCTCATGATGTCTACCAGGCAGATGCCCTCCCATCACACCTCCTGTGGGTTCTGTGCCACCTCCACCCCTTGGCGCACATCTGCCAGCCGACAGATTGGCTTGTTGCACATGGGACAGACACTGCGGATTTCCAGCCACTTCACCAGGCACCTAGTCACAGGGCAGGAGACAAAAGATGGTCAGAGTCCTCCAGAGGAATGAGCATCTCTAGTGAGACACCTGGAATCTTTCAGACGAAGATGATGCACTGACAGTAGAAAATAGTAGAAGATTCTAAGAATTTGAACATGTATATATCCAAAAATGTTCTGCTCTCATTGTTTTCCTTCTGTTGTGAAAAATAACCCATTTGTTATATGGCACTAAATACGTTCTGTGAGGCCTCAAAACCTAAATTTACATCAATGAACAAACTCTTAACTAAAAAAATGTTTACCTCAAATTTTAGCTTATTTTGTTCTTTTTCTTTTGGAGCCATAGTTAGAAATGATGTGGTTTTTTTTTAAACTTGTGAATGGCCAAAAAGTTCAACACTTGCAAATAACATTCTTCAAGTTGAAGTGCACACAGAGGATTGAATTGGCCAAGTTTGTCTTTATATTATGCATCATTGGGGAAAAACAGATACTAACAGTCAACTGTTTTCCAAAACGTGACTCTGATGCCTTTTCCATCTTTTCCTTGAGGAAATGATGTGTACCATGCCTAATGACACAGAAAGAGAGGCTGAGAATGCGGGAGGACTCACTTCTTGTGAAATGCATGCGAACAAGGACAGACCCCAAGCTCGTCCCTGGCTCTGAACTCTTCCAGGCACACTGCGCACATCTGCTGCAAGAACGGACAGGTCCTCCATGAGCTGCGGTGGTGTTTTTACATTGGAGAAGCTGGCTGCTCACCAGTTAACCAAGGCCCTTCTAGCTAGGGCTTTTCAGCCAGGTGGTACTTTCACTCATAAAGCATCATCGTAATAGTAGTTTAACAGGAGCCAATATGAAAACCATCTGAATCTTATGATAAGGGTGTCCCTAGAACTACTATAGAAGTGACGTTTCCAAAATCCCAAAAGTACCAGGTTCGATGGGTAGGTTGGACATTTAAAGGGGCCAGACCTTAAATGAAGAAGGGTATTACTTCAGAAAATATCTAAAAACCAAACTGAGTTTGAAGCTCAATTTTTGTTTCCATTTATACTGTATTTGGAGCACTTTCTCTTTGTGTAAACATCTACAAGGAATAAAAAGTCAATCAACATGTACTGTACTAAGAAAAAGGAGGCAATGGATCTTTTTGTCACAATTCTACCTCTCTTTACTAATGGGCCTTTTTGGTGTTCTTTGGAACCATGCTTGCAGAGATCACTGTGGTTATGTAACTCATTTTATGAATTCTAAAATGAGTCCAGCTTTGGCCATTCCACTGGCCAGACTGGTACTGTTGCACTTTAGCATGTATGAAATGTATAGTTACGACTTACTAATGATGTATAATGGATTTTGGCTTGACCTTGACATACATTTCTTTCCAGGTGCACTATCATTTATAGCAATCAATTGTAGCTCATGAAAAATGGCGTCATTTAGACAGAGCAATTAGAAATAAAGAACTGGCATTTATATCGCTGTGTGAAATTAATATTAGATCTAATGTAAACAAATATTATTATTATTAATCTGCCCCAGGGTAACTTACTCCAAGAAGGCTGAGTTTCTTTCCTGCCCCCTTCAGAACCACCTGTAAACAAGAAAATACATGGAAAATGTCAAATGACCAGGTGTACAAAGAAACAAAAGTTAAATTGCCCTTTTGTACTTTTTTTAGTTCAAGGTTTTTGCACATTGAAGCTTAACATACTTAAATCCCCGTCACAGCTAAGATAAATTTCCACATTTAATATCTTAGGCATTAAATATTTTATTTCTTAATGTTTTAAGCAACCAAAGGGAGGACTTCATCTGAATTGTTTTTATGAAAGCTAAACTGAGATGACAGTGAAAGTCTTTTCCCAAGATGATAATCTTATTTCTCTTCTTTGACACCTTTTTCAGCGCAGGAGTTAAAATGAATGTTACTTGGTTGATGTACATCTTGGTATGAAGCACTAGTGAGATGATGCAGTATAGCTAAGGGCCAAATGTTTGTAATTACAGTGATATTCAGAAGTGTTTAGACACTGGTAGGAAAAAAACGTTGAGCATTTAGATTTTAACATAAGCCACCACTTTTTTAAATGTGAAACACATCACCAGGGCCTACAAATGTGACATCTTAAACTGGATGAGCTGGGCTCATACAACTGCATGTGAGGCAAGTTGAAATGGAAATGAGTCAGGTATTGGTCTTTACTGCAGGGTTAGTCAATATAGCTTATCCAGTCCACATAAATATAGAATTTAAAACAACCAGCTCCTTAGTTATTTAATTATGTCAATGTAAATTGGAGGATTATTATAGCAGTTGAAGATTTGGTTGCATCAAATTTGTGCAGGGTTTGCAGGTTCACTGATGCTGTTCAATATGATGGCTTTCATTTGCAGGCTTACAATGTTTTCTCAGTTATTAAATATGTGACTGCATGTAATATTATGATTTTAGATTGGGCAGTATCCACATAATAACTGTTTCAGAAATATCTATTTATTGATGTTTTTAATTTCAGTGTTACATACAAGGCTCTTTCATGGATATTTCCATGATGTGCAAATGTAACTGTAAATCTCTCTGACAATCAGCTCTGAGATTTGTTTTTTCCAGAAGGCATTCTTTTATCAGAATAGTCAGCATGGAGAACATGAAATGAAGCCAGAATAACAGAGTGTCTCTCCTAACACCCACTTAAGTCTGATGAATAAGAAAATAACTGGAACACGAAGATATGAAATTCTTTCTATGCACAATTCTCATCTGCTGAAGACAATTGTTTCATCATTCAAATTAAGCATATTTATCACACATCACTTGTAAAAACAGAAAAGACTAAACATTCAGCTTCCACTGTATATTTTAAAAGTGGTCACTGAGAAGATTTGCTTTCTGGTTACGGTTGGGGTGTGGGGTATTAAGATGATCACACATTACCTCATTGTATCCATACTGCTCCCTCCTGCCATGCCTTCTTAACCTGCAAAAGAAAAGCACGTCTCTTTAAAGTCACGTTTCTCTGTTAAAGCCGGGCCAGGCTTTAAATACAGATCAGAGCTTTTCATGGCAATGTTGTAGATACAGCCTGATTGCACATTCTCATGTGAAACCTGCAATATCTTATTATGGCATAAGGCAGGGTTTCCCTGTTCAGGTCCTGGAGACCCACAAACATGATGGGCTTTGTTTCCGTGGTGCTGCCATGAGTTACACAATGTAACCTCTAAATTGAACTGGTAATAGGATTAATTTGAGCCATTTAATTGTGTTCAGTTCTTAAACATGTCAGAGGTTGCCTTTTAATTACTTCATACCTCACTTATAATCTCCAGCTTTAAAGCAAGAAAATACAGTATAAGCTTTCAAACGTTCCTACAAAGCATCTTGTTAATGCAATTAAGGAAAGAGCTTGCCTGGAAAAAGCCTGCATGTGTGTGGGTGTCCAGGCCCAGGAATGGGACCTCCTGGCTTAAGGCACCTTCACACTGATAGACCAAAGACTTTATAGGCCTCAGTCACAAAGAGGCCAGTACAAGTATAAATATCACTTAATCGCTGGTAAGACAACATGTTGTTTTTTTTTCAGAAAGGTACACCACAAGATAATGGGTGTCTGAATGTAACAATGCCACACATTTAAAAAATATTAGTATATTTTGTACTTAAAATAAACATTCCATGTATTACTGTGCTTTGGGCTCTGGACCTTTCTATTTCCTCTCTCCTTTTATAATGGCGCTGAAGGAATCTGTGTCTGGTCGGAGCTTACAATTAGGCCAACAAGAACTGTTTTACTGTTTTCTGCATTCCCAGATGGCCTATGTTTCTTCAAGGTCTTTTCTTTTGAGAGGAGGTGTAACTCATGTATCCTACACTTGATTCAGCAATATGAGAGGGAACCGAGTCTTAGTTAATTAGGGGTCTTGGTTAATTGCCTGAAGCTGATCTAACTGCCTAACTTTCTGACTTTGTTAACACCTTATGTGGTAACAAACTGCTTCTGTCTGTCTGTATGCTTTTGTATGAAAATTTTGCTCATCTTCAAGAATAAAAGCCTATTGCTGTCCTTAGAAAAGTGAGTGAGAGACAAGGTTAACCTGTTGACTTTGTCTGTCCTCCTTTCTTAATTGCAATAAAGAAATCTCCAGCTTGATTTACCAGGGTCCTGTGATTTACTGAGAAAAGGGTCTAACAGTGCCTTTCTCCTGTATGCAGGGACTGCCAGTGGCGATTAGATACTGTCTCCATATTCTCGAGAGCACACATGTGCACTCTCTACCAGGCATCTCTGTGACAGGCCTCTTCGTACACAGATGCATGACTCAGATCACAGACCTGATCTCCACTACCTCTACAGTCCTCCAGGTCCTTATTGAGGCAAAATCACCTGTCACACTAAACATCGTCCTGGCAGTAATATCAGCTTTCTACGACAGAATCACAGTGACACAGTAGGCTCACATCACCTGGCCTCTAATGTCTTCTTTAGTCACTAAACCGACTACTGTGTCAGTTTATCTCATCTATGGTCCTCCAGACTGCTTTTCCACTAGCCATCAGTAGGAGAGCTCTTCCTCTGTCATAGGTTTTACTGTCACCTCTTTACTTTCCACCAGTATGTGCTCCAGCTCAACCCTGGATATCTACATCTGACACACAGCACCACTTCAGTTCTATGGTTCCCTCTTAATTATCCTCAGAGGTAAAAAGCCAGGATCAGTAATCTCTTAATAGGGCGTGGCACCCTGGATCACATATACCATTCAGCTGGCTAACAAGGCACTGTGTCTCTCTCTTCAAGGAACCCTTCTGGCACATTTCAGTAGAGTCCTGTCCATCTTCTGTGTTCTATATGGCTCCATATGGAAACTACATAGACACCTATGTTCATTTTCACCAGATTCTATTATCTTGGTTGTGCTAAATACAACTTGCTCCTCTTTTAGGAGTCCTAAGAGTGACCAGCACCTACTGTATGTGTCTCTTCCAGCTCATCATTATTGCAGCCATTTGCCTATTCTTTGCTGCTTGACTGCTTCATCCCCATTGGTGATGACTACATCTTGTATTAAAGGGGAACAGTGAGTTGTCAGCCTTTTCAGGTCCCTCTCTGCCTGTCTTCCTGCTTTCTGCAAAACTGCTGCAAGCAGCCTCTGCCATCTAAGTATCAGGAGAAAAGATAAATCCCTTGTGATTATGTGGTTGGGTCCCCACTGGGCTTATTTGCTGCAAGGGAGCATTTTAGCAAATGGTTTTCACAGTTGTTGTTGTTTAATTGCAAATGAGGTTGTGTGGGTGCTGTGGAAATGTTTGTAGAACTAAGAGTGATTGAATATAAGAGCACCTCTTAAAACAATTTCTGATTATAGCCTTTTAGGGCACTATTGGTTGTGTAGAACAGTCCACACAAAGCAGTATGAAATAGTGATTCCTTTCTTTACTTGGCTCTCAGTTGATTGGCAGGGCACTGAAGGGTGTACATAGGTAAAATGTGTTTCCCTTCAATAATAATAATAATAATAATGAGGATGAGGATGAGGATGAGGATGATGATGATGATGATGATGATGATGATGATGATGATGATGATTATGATGATGATGATAATGTAGTAAAGTAAAATGCATGCTGTTCAGAAACAATTACAAAACGTGTGGTTTATAATTTATTTTAAAAGTTCACCATTCTGAGTCAAAAATCAGATTCACCCAGAAAGCATTAAAGCTTTTTCCTCCATCCTCTTAAGACGGACGCAGCGCTCTTACGTGCTGGGGCATTCTGGATAAGAGGGACAAGACAACTAAACAAGATAAGAAGTGGAACAGGGAGCATAATATGTTTGTTGAAGATGCTTAGTTTATGTTTGTAGGAGGCTGCCGTAATTTTTAGCTTATTAGGTAAAGAAACCTCGGTTCAAGAGTGTTCTCTGAGGCCGTGTCCTGACTCCTGGCTCTTATTATGAAGTGACTCAAGTACGACAGCTTATCCGCAAATCTTCGGACTCGCAGGCTGTTTTATTGCACTAGATGCTTCTGCTTATTATTGTTGTCAGTGAAAAGAAATGAACGAGGTCTTAGCAAATTCTGCTTTTAATGCAATTCTTTAGTTATATTGAAAACGCATTTAAGAGGTTCCGTCGTTTGCCAGAAGCTACCGTGGGTACATCAACATCAACAGAATACTGTGGAATAAATTGTATTTAGAACCAAATAAAAAATAGAAGACAGTATTTGTTCTAGCGGAACGTTGCATGCATTTCATAATACAACCTTTCACAAAGCTTATATTTAGTATACATTTATTACATACCATCGAATATATTCTTGTTCAATCGCTTATTCGATAGTATATAAAAATGCAAATAGACTTAAAGAGACGATATCTCGTTATGAACATTTTCCGAAAGTCATCTGCAGGTAATAAACCATTGTAGCTTACGGTTCTTCATTAATTTGAGTATTAAGCGAAATAGGTAAAGTTCTTCAAATGGACTTTGTTTATGTCCAGTATACTGGAAATCTGGTGATTATACAAAAGATTGGCTGGTAGGAATAGCATGGAATTGAAATGTTGAAATGTTGCTCTTTACAGTCCAAACTTTTGAAACAGAAACTTATAATATGAATTGTATTTCAATATAAAGTATGAAAGGGAATTGCAATTCGACTTTTATCAGGAAATAAGACCAGTCTTTTTAATCATTTGAGAATGGACAGAATCAAGGAACCTCATACAGTTTTAAAGAATGAATATACCGTGTAGGTTCATGTGAAATATAGGGCTTCACTGTACCTACTGTGCTGCAGGATACTGTGAGGATCTGTACTGTACTGTATAATAATGACATGTCTGCACAAGTAATTCTTTTATAGCAGTATTTGGCACAGCCACGGGATGGTCATGCTCACGGAGCGGGCAGGGCTGAGATCAAATGAGCCTGACACGAACAGCAGCTTTCAGAGGCACTTCGCTACGCCTCTTTTCACACACACATGCAAACCGGCAAATTCTTGAATCGAAACACTGTTTCAAGGCCTTTGTTTGGTCTGATATTACTTAGCCAATTATTTGAATAAATGAGCACCATTTCATAGCACTAGGACTGGAAGGGTCCTCAGGATTTATTGTGGACTTAAAACCAAATCATTAAAAAAAAACAGATACAGTAGGTTACACCTAGCCTGAACTAATGCCTCAAAAAAACTGAACAATGAAAAGGTTGCTGGTGACCAGGGTTTTATAGCAAATTGGATAACGTTTCTGTAGCGTAGAATATCACAGTTGCTGTTCGGCCTGTCACCCATTTGAAGTTCTCTGCCTTTTCGTTATGCATTACCTGAAAAGGTAGCAGCAGAATATCATGCTCAGCATGAAAATGAAGAGGCCGATGCCCAGAATGATGACGTACACATTGAGTGGAAGGTCATAGATTTCCGCCGAAGACATCTTACAGTGCTCGTCAGAATTCTGGAATCCCAGGCCGCACACACATCCTGTGGGGACACAAGCATGGCACATGATTTCATACGCATTTCAGCCAGCTCCTTGTCTCTGATGAAGCTTACAAAGATAACTGAATAAAAGGTTTATTTTTAAAATGTACCAAATGTTCTCAAACACTTGCATGCCAAGTCTTTGCGAACAAATATTTCTAAGTTCATGTTTTCCACTTTTTTCTTGTCAGATTTGAAAGGCAAACCCTTGTTTCTCAAGGAAAGACTCGTTTTTATGTTCTTCCAGAAGTACTGTATGTGGATATCTGCAAAGATACAGACCCCAATGAATACACAAAACACTGTAACAAGGCTAATGAAGAACATCATCTAGAAATTTAATCTCAAATGAGATTGTCTCTATGTGAAACTACAGTCTTTCTGTGTTTCAGTTTCAGTGCAATACATGTATCCCAGTCATGTGTGGATTGCCTCTGAAAATCCACAGCAAGTCACCTTTTATGGTACTAGTCAACAAAAGAGATCAGATTTTTTTTACAATAAAACTGTTTCTGTATTACCAATTTTCATCCTAGTGATTACTGGATTACTGTGATTACTGTAATTTTGGAGTCTCCCCCATGCAATGAAAAACCTGCAAAAATTCCGAGACATTTTCAGGATTAGATGTACATTATTATTATTTTGTGGTTTGTCTAGTCAGGTAGGTTTGATATAGTCACAGGTTGTTTTTAATGAGTCTCATTGTCATGGTTTTTGTGGTTTTTGAATGGCAATATGCTAATGTAGGACCTTAGAAAACGTAAATCCTCACTAAGCGGGTGGTGCCTTTTGACTCCCAAGTTTAACGAAACATAGAAATCAAATTATTCAGTTGCTTGCTTCTTTCAGGCTCCTTCTGCATTTATGACACATTCTTTGTTCTCATTAACTCCTTTTCCTACCTTTTAAATGTCGTTCAAACAAAGCACACCAGCTTGCCTGCACTAGGAGAATGGCAGCTGATATTTCTATGGTACTCTTCCTATTGACTAATGAGCTCTGTAGGCAATTCTATAAGCCACAGATGTATCCACAATTACATACTGTCTATAGTCAGATTTGGTGAGAAATCCACATAGCCATACAGTTTTTCTGTAGTTTATTAAACCCTGTTGTAACATGTTTATTTGTACTTGCAAGGAAAAGGCCCTCTTTAAAAGACATATTGATTGAAAAAGGTTTACTCTCCTACCTTAATGCCATTGCAGCTTTGATACTCATTAAAGAGATTTGCATAACATTCCATTGAAAATAAAGCACCATCTAAAATACAGTGTCCCTTGTGACTGTGCTGGAAGAGGAAACATTTCCCTATAATTATCTACCACTACCACTTCAAGCACCTATCTAATCTTCTAAAGACTTTTCCTTCTATGTTCTATGAGGCTTAGTCTGAGATCTGATCAGACATCAAGATGGCATCGGGCTTTAGCATTAACCTTTTGTGTTGAATAGGAACAGGATCAGTATAGTGAGGTGTTTTAGGCAGAATTGAAATATAGTGCCTAAATAAAGAGGTGCTTATTGATTCTCTTATGATCAAACTTAGAATTTAGAGTTCTTAAATTCTTAAAAAACGTAAAAACTTAGAATTAATTAATATTTGTGTTTTACATGCATCATTGTGCTATCTTGTTATTCTACAGTACATGGATTTGTCAGGCACTGTAACACAATGTAAAATTGTTCTTACAGAATATGAAGGTCTTCATGCCAAATTACCAAACATAAGTAATTACAAATGAAATACAACTTCATGTCACTATGCAAAAGCAAATTCGAAAAGAAAAGCTCAAAATCACATTCAGAAAGAAAGGTTTTCAGTTTAGTTCAAAAGGAATTGAGAATTTCTTAATTTCTGACGTGGGCTGGGAAGGATTTCCCAAAAACATTGGACAGCTAAAGGCTCTGAGTTTTTGTAGAGCCAGTAAATCTACTGAACATTTTAAGGTCTCAGTTATTGAGCTGTTACGTATGGACTGAGATATTCCTGAAGGCAGGAGAGCCCTGACCCATGGAGGACTTCATTTCCTGTTATGTCAATTAAAAAAGTCCTAGTCATATTCAGCCAGTGTAAAGACTTCCACACTGGAGTAATGAGATTAGACAGGCAGCTGCATATCACTAACATACTGTAGTAGAGGCATTCTGAACAAGCTGAAGCCTACTGAGCCTGTCAGGCCAGGCAGCAAATTAAGAGTTAAATAACCAGCATCTCTGCATCCTTCCTGTTCAGGCATGTTATGATCACAGTCATTTTTCTGAGATGATAAAAATCTCTTCCAGACACAGAACTAAGATGTAAATCAAATGAAAATTCTTGGTCAAGAATGATGCTCAAATTCTTATCACATGGCGACAGTAGATTAGAGCTTGTGGTAATTTCGGAGTTTAGGGCCAATAAAAAATAAGGCATTAATTTCAATCAACTTTCTTTGATTTAAATAAAAATACTGTGAGGACAGATGCAAGTCATGTTGGATTGATATAGAAAAGATACATAGATATAAGTTAATTAGCCTAAAAGTGAAAGCCATCCTGGTGATATTACTGAGAGCTAGGACGTACAAACTCAATAGCTAATATCCCAACATAAAAAAAAACTTTGGAAAGACAGATCCTATATCTACTAGGTAATGTAGACTGTTGATCTAAAAAAAGCTTTTTAACAATTTTGCTCACTTGACAACAACCAGTAGTGGAATGGAAGGTTTCAGGGGTTTTTAATTTTTAGGTTTCTTATTTCAGTGTTGATGACATGTTTTCTCACCAGCGATGTGTCTGTCTCTCTTTTATATTGTATCTTTTAGGACCATTCCACCACATCACAAATCTCTAAGATGCAACTCCTGAGGTGCCAGAAGCAAGGTTTTTTGAGAGTGGCTTTGTCCTTAGATGCCACGGCATTATATAATATTGCTTTGTGGCCAGAGGTTAGTTTGTTTGCCAGTCTGACGTCTGATTCATTTTTAATGCATTACTAATTCAGGTTAGCTTTCAAAGCATTTATGTCATAGACTTTCAGTGCCTCTTCCTTTCATTAAATATGTCAAAGTGAATACATTTCTAGGATGGGAAATGTTTTGTTTTTTTCTCTTGGGAGCCCAATAAAACATCACTTAAGACTGCATGTTAATGTTCCCTCCCTATTTTGTTTGCCAGTGTAGTGTTAAAATGGCCTGTGTTACACACCAGAGAAATTAGTCTTACTATAAAGTTGGGTCACTACTGAGTCAGTTTCACCAGCTGCCGGGAATCTATGCATAGATGCTGGCATCTATGAACCTAACATCAATAGGTGGTACAGAAAAAAATATCAAATAAAGAGATATTTTTAATTTTTAAATGTAATACTAAAAATACAAATAAGGGACCATTCCCCAAATAATTGTTTTAAATACTGTGCCTGTTGATATCTGATGTTTAACCAGAACATTTTAATTAGGTTAATTATTTTCAAGTTTGCTACTGTTATAATAGACTAAACATATAATAATTTGAAAATATTTATATACTATATATATATTTGAAAATATTCATAAATAATCCTTTGGCAAATCCTTATGTCATGTGATGAAAATGAACATGCTGCTGATTTTCAGGTGTTGATTACAGAGTGAAAAAATCAATGATTGTTGACGACATCTGAAAGGAACTCCTGCTTAGTTCTTATAATGAATTTATTTGTTCAATATTTTTCGTCCATGGTGAATGCTTGTGTGTTCACAGTTTTAATGATACATTTGCTACTGTAATAGGTCATAAAGCAGCCCAGTGGCGCAGTGGTTAGCATTGCTACCTTTCTATGCTGGGGCCCTGGGTTCAGTTCTGGACCTGGTCTGCTATCTGTGTGGAGTTTGTGTGTTCTGCCTGTGTTCATTTGGGTTTTCTCTGAGTGCTGTGGTTTCCTCCCATAGTCCAAAGACATCATGGTAGGTTAATTGGTATGTGGGAAAATTGACCCTGGTGTGAATGTCTGACTGTCTGAAATTGGATTGGTATCCTGTCCAGGGTGTATCCTGCCTTATGCCTGTTGCATGCTGGGTTAGGTGACCCTGAATTGGAAGAAGCAGTTAGAAATGGATAGATACGTAACCTATATTTCTGTCTTCTATTGCATGTAAGATATTATAGAAACAATCAATATAACTAATCTAGAGAATCTTCTGTAAGGCTTGATACAAGAGAATTCTTTGGGATAGTCTACATGGATTTAGAAAAAGGAAGGTCTTGTTCTTCTGTTGTTGTTGATCAACATTCAACAACGTTGTGTTCAGAATGTTTTGAACAGGCAGGTTACATCAATAATGGGTTTAGACAGAGCATATGATATGGAGAGAGATTAATTCTCAAATTGCATACATTACTTATTATTAATTATTATTTAAAAATAGAGAGCACATATTAAAGGTGAGATCTCCAACTGGCATATTTTATTTAGAGGACCCACAGGGATCTATATTAGGACCACTGTGCTCTTCCTAATTTACAATGCCTTGCAAAAAATTCTGACCCTTGCACAATCTGTTTTCACATTTTGTAGCTATTAATATATGTTTTATAAATATCCTACTCCACATGTTCAAAGGGGAAAAAAAGAAGGAAATGGGTAATTAAATGAAAGAAAAATGGAAATATCAAGATTCCATAAGATTCAAACACTTTCCTGTGGCAAACCTAAATTAATTAAGATTTAAGTATTGTGTGACTTAATCAACAAGTCACACAATTACTTTTGTGGCCTTTGCCTGTATGTGCTCATTCTCGTCAATACGATTACAGACTAAATACACTATGTAATGTCCCTCAGTCAGGTACTGAATTTCAAACAAAAATTCCACCACAGAGACCAAGGAGTTTCCAAAATAACTCAGGGATAAAACTGTATAAAAACCAGTAAGAATGGTCTAAAACATTTCAAAGACCTACAACATCTCTTTGAGCATGATGAAGCAGATCATCAAGAACACACTGCCTAAATCAGGTTGTCCCACCAA